TTAATTCCACCATCCACTTCTACCTGAGATTTCCTAATACTATAGAGTTTAGAGCACTTCATCACGACATAAAAGATGTTCTTCTAAAGTTGGCTATTAGAGTAGAACAAATGTATGATGATTTAAGTCAACTAATGAATGACAAATCTAGGGAGGCCGAGTTAGAATTTTTTTTGAAGATAATGGTTGAACAAAATATTGAATTCAAGAAAATAAGAGAGGACATGGATCATAGGTTGCCAAATTGGATAGCTGACGTGAACAACATCAAGATTCAAAGAACAAATCAAAAACCAATTATAGAATCAAACCACGCTGATATGTCTATGAAGTACTTGAAAAACACTAGAAGAGGGGTTGAATAGTTTTTTAGAAAATGTTTTTCGCAACCCTTCTGATATAGGACATTGTCAAGCGTATGAAATATTCTTTTGAAAGCTTAGACGCTCAACTTGAAATATATGCGTTGATAGGATTGACATACTATTCATAATATTTCTATTGCAGCATTTGTAAGAACTTCCTTTAAAAATAAAGGATCATTTAGCTTAGAAGTTCTTATATTTTCAAATATCAAGCTCAATTGCAGGTTTTCTAAGAGGGTCATTTAGTGAAAAGAAGAGAGAATAACACAAGAGATTTTATACCGGTTCACTCCAACTAAGCTATGTCTTGTCTCCTTCATAGAGGGTTCCACTATAATCTTCACATGATTACAAATGAGTATTAGCACCACTCTTGGTACTCAACTACCTTGCTGAGATTTTCTTGAGTATTCGAACCACTCCTGGTACTAGACTACCATGCCTAGATTCCTCAACTCAAAAGAGTTCAGTTGTAAGTGTTTTAATTCTCTACAGAATTGTAATGAACGATTGCTTACAAGTAGTTTAGACTAAATCTCTCTATGAGAGGATTTAATTACAATACAATGTCGGCTAAACACTCGCAGGTGTTTCTCTCTATGATCTTACAACAGTAAGAGATTTGACGCTTAAGCTCGAGAATATATCTTTCTCTTTTCTCTTCTCTTCTCTTTTTCTTCAACTTAGATGTATTCTTCTCTTTTCTTTCTCTTTAGGATGGATATGTCATTGTAACCTTTGTGCTCTTTTTCTATGCTCTATTCTTACATGATTAAATGTCATTCTGCATCTCATCTCATCTCATTATTCTAGATGTGTAGGAACCATTGGATCTAAAGTTTATCTTCATCCATAGTATTCTTTTTCATTCTTCCTTGGATAGCAATGTGGACATAATTTATGGTGAATCTTCACATCTGCATCAGGTTTTGTAAATCTATAAAATTCAGGTTTCAGTTGTAGAGTTTTAGCTATGCATATGTTTCTTGCATTCTCCATGCACAACTATTATTTTAAACTTGCTTCAATCACCGCATCATGTTTTTTTTAAACTCCTTACACAACATGCATTGTTAAATTTTAGTTTCATGCACTCTTTAACATAACATTTAGAATCATATTCATTTCATATTTTTAAATTCCTCCACAACATTTTATTCATTTAGCAAGGATTAACAATACAACTTAAACCTAATAAGAACCATTTCTACATATTTGATACCATGGTTGCCCTATACTACATTAGGGGGATTTTGGGTTTTTGTTAGTCTTATTGCAACAAAAAGGATTTTAACAGTCTTACATTAAGGATCATGGTATCACCATCCAATATATGGTTAATTCTAGTTATAATGGTATACATATAAAATTGTTTAAAATGAGTTTAATCAGATTTTAAGCGACGTAATTTATAAGGGTGGAATCATGAATTGTTAGTTGATTTATATGTTTGCATATGTGTAGCTAAATTTAAATTGTGGGCGACATACATGGTGAAGTGCATAGGAAATAATGCATAAATATTGGTTAAACAAAAATAAAGGGTACCGAGTTGTTTAAGTTGAAACCAGGTTGTTTTATGTTGACACCAAGTTGTTTTAAGTTGAATTGGGCTATGTTAGTTCATGTTGGGCTGGGTTAGTCTTGTCGAGATGAGTTAGTATAAATCCAGGTTGGTTTTTTTTCCGAGAAGGCTTTGGTGAATAGGAGAATAAGGTAAGCTTCATTTCTTTTGCCCATAAGGCTTTGACTTGAACTGAGTATAATGCTTTATTCGTAAGGATTTGGTGAGTAGGTAAAGTTTTTACTTATGAGGTTTTTGGAAAGCAAGGGAAAGGGGAAGTTTTGTTTCGCCTATAAGGCATTGGTTTGAGCTGAGTATAGTGCTTTGACCGTAAGGCTTTGGTAAGCAGGCAAAGTTTTTACTCGTAAGTCTTTTGAAAAGTAGGGAAAATAGGCCTTGATCGTAAGGCTTTGGTGAGTAGGCAGGGTGATGGTAATTACATGGGAAAGACATATTTTATTATTATTACGTGGTGGTATTATGACTAAAAAACATATTTAACTCATATATCAATATGAATACAAAAACAAATATGAAAAAACTGGCAAAATATACATGACTAAATTGTATATATAAAACATTTAGTAGATTTTTGAAATGTAAAGTCTGGTTAAATGTTGTTAGATGTAATTTTAACTTGATATACACGGGTTAAAAGTTTTCATAATATTAACATCTACTAAATTACACTAAGTAGCAATTTAAACTTCATGGGCGAACTGCTAATGTTTTCATTAATATTGTTTAAAAGAAAATCTTCTTTTTTGGTGTAGTTTAATAATTTACAATTTAAAGAGATTAGACTAAACAAAATTTATGTTTGATATTTTTATATTGATTTGTCTATAAACCTAACCTATGTTCATTTCTTGATCCATTTGATCAAATTTCACTATGAAGTATATCACTACAAAGTATGAAATTACAACAGAATGAGCTTCTTCCTATTTGCTTCCCTTGATCCTTCATATGTGATTACTAGTGTGTCCCATATCTCCTTTACTCCTTTTGTAGACATGTACTTTCCGGTAATCCTCTTCAGAAAGAGCACACATAAGTGAACTCCTAGCTTTCGAGTTCAGAAGATACCTATGTTTTTTATCATCTGACCATTGGCTTATTATCAAGGGCTCTCCCTCTTTATAAAGGGATATATAGTTACCATTTTCCACGATATCTCACATATCAATGTGGTAGGACTCAAAGAATAAAATAATTCTTTATTTTCAGTAGTCAAACTTTTCCCCCTTGAGTAGAGAAGGGCGATTTATGGAAAATCCTTTGTTCTACATTGCGTTTTGGATAATTTCCTCGAGTCTAGTTAATAATTAACACTAGAGGTTAGCTTTGATACCAACTAAAATCATAGGCAAACTTTAGAAAGGGAGATGTTTGAATATAGTTTAAAACCTTTTCACGTTTAACTTTGCAGGTTTGGAATTATTCGTATATGTATTTAAACGTTAGGCTTTCTTTAGTGTTTAACTTGATACATGTATTATAGTCTTCATACGAAGTTTGTTTTAGAGTGATATATAGTTTATGAGTTGTTTAGATATTTATAGCCTTCAATGTGTTATTGTAGATGATTTTTTTTAATAGACATATTTCATTAAACACATTATTTTTAAATTTTTAAAACAAAAGTTGTTAGATATTTTTCTTAACAAAATAAAAATATAATACACTGATAGTATTTTTAGTTGACGTAAATATATCTTATACCTTAACTTATCGTGTTTAAAATACCTTTTGTATTGATATCCTTTCCAACAATACCAAACTTTGGGTACAATAAAGGAAAGTTGTTTTGTTATGTTAGAAGCTTTCTTGGAAAATGAGCCTATTGATAATTCTTAAGATGGTTTGAAATATTCAAACCCTTTATAGGTTTGATCTTCTTTTAAGTGAGGTTATAATAAATGTTATCTATCAATCATAAGTAGAGACAATGAACTAAAGTTTTTGTAAAATATCTTCCTTATTCATGGTTTGATTGTTTTATTCAATTAAACATGCTTATAAGAAATTATTAGTTTATTAAATTTAAAAATATTAATTAGCATCAAAATTATAAGATACTTTGTTAAATTTGTTTTGATATCTAAAAGTTAAACTTTTATTGTTCTTACTATTAAAATAATACTATCTTTCGTATATGATCATATGTCTTAGTTTACTATATTATTAAATGTTTCCATAACCTAGGTTGATTGGCTTTTAGTTTATCTCTATATATTTTATCTTAGTTTAATATTATTATTATATATTTCTCCGTTACCTGTAATAAACCTAGTTTGATTAGTTTTTAGTCTATCTCCATAAATTTTACTTGTTTAGTTAACTTAAGAAAACAATTTATATTAGTATTCAAGCGTATCTAGTTCAACAATTGAGATTGCACACGAACTTTTTCATTACGCAACTCGAATCAACATCCATATGTTTTCTCTATTTATAATATTTATTATGATTAGAAATGAAAAATAATGTGTACCCATACATATTTGTTTAAAATTCAAAATGAATATTAAATAAATATTTAAATACCCATGGTAAAAAATATGGATATTTTATTAAGTTACTTATTTTTCATACTATTACAGATTAAATAAAAATTATTTGTATTCACAAAATTAAATTTATTTTAAATGGATTCATTTTATTTAAATTCATATTTTGTAGCGTAATTTACCTTTTTTTAAGAAAGATCAATTTATTAATAGTAATATTTTATTATGTAATTTTATTTGGAATATAATTTTTATTTGAGTTTATTTTCTTAAACTAGTTTTAATTAGTTGTATTTAAATTTAAGAAAAAGTTAAAAATATCATTGACAAATATTTTTAATTAGAGAAAGAAGAAAGTAATACGACTTATTACTTTTTAAATGGATGACTGGTCTGAATACCCACACCACGATGTCATTCATGTCTGTGATCCTTGCATAGATTTTTAAGGTAAAAATAAAATGTTATTATTATATTATAGATTATGGATACCACCCTAAAGTCTTTCCCCTTATCTTCCTAATCTTTGGTTATCTTCCTAATTTTTGGTGTATTGATTAGAAGCAATTCCATTTGTACCAATCCTTTAGGTCAACTTCTGCATAGGCATATTGATGATTCATCCATTATGACCCATACCTTTCCCTTTATGCAAAACCAAAACCCAAACTTAACGCAACAGCTTTTGCCTTCAAAGCAACAACCTCTCTTATCTTCTTTCTATTCTCTTCTGTCATTTCTCGCCTGCATACATTAATCACTTTCCCTTACCCTCCCTCTGTTTTCCCCATAATCATCTTCATTACAGCACTCCCAACAAATAAAACGACAAAGTCTCATTAGTTGCAACATCCCATAACCAAATACACCACAATTTCTCCCTTCCCCAAACCTAACCTTATCACAGTACATCAATCGTGTTTTATTTCTCATCTCCCTCGTTTCTATAAATACCATTTTTCATTTCAATTAAATCACTATCCCAATTTTTTCTTCTTGTTGCGTCTTTTTTTCTTCTAATTCCCATCATTTTCTTTTTATCGAAAATGAACACCATGAGAGGACCGGAAGATCAGCAATCTAGGGTTTTCTGTGAGCTGTCGGCTCTGGTCTTCAACCTCCTCCGCTCTCCGCCGCTCATGCCGGAGTCTCCGCCCAGGCGCCCAACGGCGGGGGCTCAGATAACGCCGGCAGGGTTCGCATCGCTGCTTCTGGGGATTTCGGTGGCTCTCATGCTCTGCGGATCGGTTACTTTTTTCATCGGGTTTATGTTGATGCCGTGGGTTCTCGGATTGATGATGGTTTTCTACGTCGCTGCCATCGTTTCCGCTCTCTCCGTTCTGGGGCGTTCCATTCTCTGTTTTGCCTCGCCGCGTAAGGATCTTCCTGGTAAGGAATACTATAATTTGTTACTTATTTATTTGCTGCAGAAATTTAGGTTCTCTTTGTCAATCTATTATCCGTAGAATCAAAGGAATCCATGATAGATATTTTCCAGATAGGATGGTGTGGCAAATCATTCAGGATAGGACTCATTACTTATCTTTTTAGTTGTCTGATCTCTTTTGTTTGTGTTCTATTCTGTTAGGACCCAAGAGGAAGTTTCCCAGTTATTTTGTGTGTCAGGTTCTCCAAAAAAAAAATCATTTTCCTAAAAATTGAACTAAGTGCAATAAACTTCTCATTTATAAAAAAGGGCATTACAGGTGAATTGAATATTGGGTTCAGTGATATATGCATAAGAAAGGGCATTACAAACTCTTCACAAGCTCATTAATTATAAATTTCACGTGCCAGCACATCTCTTCTCAAGCTTATATTTGTCTGTTATGTTTCCTGTGCATCTACCTGCTCTATATGCATTTAGATTTGCTGGAGTTTTGGACAATTTAGTTTAAAGGCTATCAAGGAAGTTGCTCTAAACTTTTTTTCCTTATCTGGATTCTTTTGTTCCGTATGGTCTTTTTCAGTGGTTGTTTTCCTTTTCGCATCTGGCTTGTTTGAGCTTCTCAGGTTAGAATTCGAAGTTATAGATTCATGGGTACCTTGTTACACTTGTGTGTCTTATTGACCCATTTGCTAAAGATTAAGGATACAAGCCATAAGATATTTCAACTGTACTTATTGATTGCCTTATAACAACCCCAGTTCCTGGGAAATTGGCAATAGCCATATCACATATAGATAGTGTTATTACATAGCCGAATGTGTATCCTGTAAAAACTTTAAGAGTACTTTATAAACTTCAAATCTTCAATCACCAAAGTAATTAATAAACACTTTGACATTCAAGTTAGCTTAAGGATTAATAAACAATAAATGTAATAATTAATGAACATTCTCTACTTACCATATAAAATGTGTTATTTATACAACTTGACCCATTAGTTCAAATACCTGTTAGTTTCTGTAGAATATTGTGAGTACGTTGCTTGTGTGATGTCGTGCTGGTCAAGTAGGGATAGATCGGACGGGTCTTATACTGATAAGACCAAGGGACACTTGGTCATATACAGTACACCAGTCCTAGGCTTTACGTGTTGTATGTTAAAGACTTGCGAAAAGCTTCAAGATACTGTGTATTAGGGGTCGGTCATCAGTACCTACTTACTGGTCATGATACTGGTAGTTGATTGCCGTGTTATTTACAAAGAAAAATTACGTTTATTTGGTTACGTGGCCTTATAGGTATAGATAGGTTGCAATTCAGCATCTGTAGATGCTGAGTTTGCTATTGACAGACAGGAAAAGAATGTAGCAGACCAGCATTTTAACAATAAAGCCGCGGTGAAATTTTTGTTCATTCATTATTGTAGGTTACTGTTGTTTTGTTTTTTGAAACATATTTTTATATTATTAAGAATTCATACTTCGATGTAAAGAATTTAGGTTCAAATTCTGTGGGAGCTCCTGGAAGAGTGAAATTATGAGAATAAGATAGACGGTCTGTGTGTATGACCTTAGAAAGAATCCAATAAAAGAAATGTTAAATTCTTTTTGAATCAAGGGTTGGATCTGCAAGATTGGTTTTCTCTTAAAACAGTGAAGGAGTATAAGATACAAAAATTACATTGAAGGTATATTAATGTTGCTGAGGTTGGATAAGTTAGCAAATTCTTCCTTTTTCTGGCCAGTTTGGCAATTGCTAATTGTTAGCCTGTACGGAATTCACCATTTCTGTTGTTTATTTTGACTTAACAGCGCAGCTTATCTCTTAGATCGTATCACACACATGTTGGATCACGAGCCTATTTTTGCTGTTTCAGAGTGGAAACTTATGTGAAAAGATAAATAAGGGAGTGGACTAGTGCGATCGTAGTTATTGTGCCGGCCCCCTTGCGCAGCCTGCGGAACGAAGATCACTGAACTTCTCTGACCAGAAGCAGGAGTTTTGGAACCAGGCTTTTGTGAAAAGTACTAAACTTTGTGGATATGGCTTCTCTTTTTATTACAATCAGCCAAGTTCTGAGGAATCAAGAATTGAGGACTTTCTTCCCGCTATTGTCTATTACTGTCAATTATTTTATTTGTCGTTATTTTCACTCTTGTAAATTTTGAAGTAGAGGCTTCTGAAATTCATTTCTTTTCCATTTCCAAACGTGGTATATATACACTGTAAAATTTGATATGATGACTCACGAGAAGGTTGTCTTATTACAATTTTTTATACACAAAATTGAGAATGGCTTTATTAAATTGGAGTTGGAAATTTGAGTACATTATTGGATTGAAGTTTACGATAAACTAAAATTATAGGTTTTTTTTTTTTAATTTTGGAAACGGAAGGTATTCTTTATTTGGTTTATTACGTTTGTAAACATGACCACAGCGAGGAGGAAAAAAAGGACGCCGAAGACCGATAAAGATAAAATGGATGTAATTTTATGTTGTGTAAATAAACTGATAAAGAGACTTTGTGTTTGATGGAGTAAAAAGTCGAAATGCTGGAAAATGAATAATGAATTTTACACATTACGTTTGTAAAACTATGTACAATCATAGTTTTACACATTACGTAAAAGGTCACACTCTTATAAAGATAAAATTGTATTTCTGGCGTCTCTTAGTTACAAATTTTCCTTGCATAAAAATTTGAACGAACAATTTTTTCTTTTTACCTGACACATTGTTTTTATTTAAATTTTATTTTTATACATCATCTTAAACCACCTGCACCGAATACAAAATCCTTCCAATCAATTCAATCATTCTTTTTACCCCACCATCATTAATCTCAAATTTCTTTACATAAGAAAGGTTTTATTAAACTTTATGTCTTCTTACATACCCAACGTCTAAACATAATATTTTTATTAACCCATTAGACACTACTTTGTTAAAATATTTTGGAAACAATATTCATGCTCTTCCTCCCCCTCATTTAATGTTTTCTTGTGTACTTCAATTAGTATAAGAGTTTATCTTAAAATCCAGTTCTTAACAGAACTTGAGAAGAGGATCATGATCATATTGAAAAACATAGGACATAGTTTCAAAACTATTCCATTTGAAAAAAATTATTTACCAAGGACAATGAAGGATCACAAGATATGTGTGACATTGTGAAGATGAAAAATCTCCTTTCAAATGAGTTGAACATATACTTAGTCAATTTTTAAAGATAGTCATGTCTAAAATGTTTCCTCTAGAAAACACAAACATGATATGTTGATGAATAGTCAATATGACAACAAATACATTTGGAAAATCCTCACAAGATAAAGCAACAAGGACAAGCTTGACTAATACAAGGTCAGAGCTAAATATTCTCTTCATGCAGACACTAACATATAAAGATTCATAAAGGTGTCAGGTCAGGAAGATGAGATACTTGAAGGAGAAAAGGAGATCCGTCCATTAATATCGTCTGATAAAGATAAATATTTAATGCAATTGGTGACATCAACTAACATGTCATGACCACTCTTAGACACGAAAAATGCTAAGCTATTTTTTCTCACATAGGAAGAATGATCTGACAACCTCAAGACATTGAGAGAAAAAACATGAAGGAAAGCAACTCTTGAATACTATAATGTCAAAAGAGTAAGACCTCTAAATCCCTAAATTAGTAATAGTACATTGCATGTAGTATATTTAAAGTCTCAGACACATTGTCTAGAAACTCATTTTATAACATAAGTTTAAGACAGATATTCTAAGGGACACAATATACGTGCATAACATCATTCAATGCTTAGCCTAAAGCAAATCGACCCAATAGAAGCCCTCTAAAAATAAAATTTGACAAAGCGTTTGAATATAAAAAAGCCTTATACCACATTAAATACGTCATGATTGCCTTCGATATCTGACATTTACCTCCAAGATTTATTTGTTATCCCAAACACTAAAAAGCTAGAATCTCAATTGTTTTATGCTTCCTAGGAAATCTTGAAACACTCCTCTCACTACGAACCTTCAAAAACCCTAATCTATTCAAAACTATTTCTCTTCCAAAGAAAGATACCTCATCCTTCATCGTGGTCGCGGAACAAGAAAATGGTATCTCCATCAATGAAGTTTATGAAAGTGCAAAGCGTGTCTCTGTCACTCATGCCTCTAAAGAAAAACGATAAGGCTCTACAATGAAGACTGGGTAGATCTTGTAGACCTTAGAGCATATGGATGTAAACTCGTGCAAGATGTTCATCATTGTAGCGTTGCAAATTTCTTTGATTGGGATACTCCAATATTGACAGACTTGGTAAGACAGTTTTGGACAATGTAGAATTATAGTCCAACGAGCTTGTCTTCAAGGTTATTGGAAGAGAAGTGATTGTAAATATTGAAGCAATTGCTGCTACAATCGAATGCCCAAGGTATGACAACTGCTACTTTAAAGGATGAGATCAAATATACACTGCAAGAGGAACCATTGAACGATCACTATACGAGGAAAACTTCAAAAGGGGATTTGTTGGCAAAGAGATTATGCATGAAAACCGCTAAGATTATTCATGGCATCTACTCCAAGACCTTTCTACATGAAATTGTGAACCATATGATAGATATGGAAACCATACTTAAAGAAAACTTTATCCAATTATATTATTTCGAGTAATAAAATAATGAAGGAAATGTCTCTAATATTTTCTCACTTCTAATAATACTTTTTATTTTAATTTATTGTAATAAGTATATAATAATATATATTATTATTATCTAGTCATAACATCTAATTATATATAATAATATCTCAATATATCATTTAAAATATGTACAATATATAATAATAATAATATCTCTTTTAAATATTTAAATCCATCAAAATTATATCTTTTATTTTCTTTCAACTATTATATTTTTAAGATCCTATTTTCCTGGGTCTTACATTACACGATTGTTAATTAGTATATGCTATCAAGAGGTGACACAAGTTGTTTTATCCAAAAGTTTAATATTTTTATTAGAATTTTACTTGTATATATATTTTTATTAGAATTTTGATTAATATGCTTCTGACAGTTTGGATGAATGTGGTATAAGTTTTTTCACGGACTAATCTGCTAACCTACAATATGTGGGTCCCTCTTATTTTTCTTCTCTTTTTTTAAATTGATTTTCCTTATCTTCTTGTTGAATACAGCAACGGTTTCCATAAAAATTTGAAAACGAATTCAATGATTTTTTCGAAGGAAAGTAACTTAGTTAATTTTTATGTTTAAGTAACTTAGTTGTAACTAATAAATTCCTCAATCTTATCACTTATCCATCAAAGTTAATTGTTTCATCTTTTAACTTATTAATAATTTCTCATAAATATGTAGCCAAGGTTAAGCATTTCCAGAATCTACATAAATCAACACCTCAAAGTGTCGAAAATACTATAACTCAAGCTTTAGGTGTTACTAATACGTTTGATATACTCTAATTATAGGTTGTCCTTTCTACTCTTAAGTGTCATAGAAAGTGTATGAGTTCTTCCATACACTTCAAAATTACACTCATGTTATTGATTATTTTAATATTTTTGTTTTATGATTTCAAGAAGATTATGATGCAAATGAGCTCGAGTCTCCTTTGAATACAATAGGATCATCTCGTTAACAATATTTAGAGATTTTATAATGTTTTTTAAGATAAAACTATATTTAGTCTATGTATTTTGAGTAATTATGGATTAAGTTATAATTATGTTTCAATTTAACTTACTTTTATGTACTATGGTGTTTTTGATAATGGAATGTTTTAATGATATATATTTGAACACTTTAGTAAAAGAAGTTTGTCATGTTTCTTTATTTCCTACAGTATTTAAATCTTATTACAAATAAATATGGTTAACAAAAATGTAATTATCTCAATGGTGACATTGTCATGTAACGCAAGCAAAACAAAATAGTAAACTTATAAACTAAATAATACAAACTAGGCAGCTTAAAACCTTTATATTATAATTGTCAAATTGAATTCGGTAAAAATGAGAAAAATGGGGGTAATCATGACAGTAAAATAGTTGAAAATAAAAGAAGTTTCAAAGTTCTACAAAATAATAGTCATTAATAAAAGAGTTTAAAACCCTCAAAAAAACCTGCTTAATATAAGTATGATACGAGGGGTCATTAGAAATCTCTACAAATTAATAACTACAACTCTAACTATGAGGGTTTGAAAAACCTTCAAAAGTTAATGGAAAATAAATCTCCACTAAATAATAATTTTTTTTTGAGTCTGTTGAATACATAAATGACTTCATTTTATATTTAATATATGGTGAAGAAGAAACTTAAGTTCAAATATCCTTTCCAATGTGATGAGGACCAATAAATTCAAGGTGGATGGTTTACTCCAAAGTTTTTAAATAATATTTGTAGAAAAAATATTAAGTAAGCCAAGTATCTCAACCAAGAGGAGAGCGAATTGGTTTCTCTTTGTAAAAACAAGTTCTTTAAAAATATTTTTGAAATCTTTTGAATTTTCTTGGAATGCAATTAGCAAAGAGTAAGAACAAAGTAAAAGTGTAGGGATAGAGAGATTCACGTTGTTGTTTATACTGGTTCGACCAACCTGACTACGTCTAGTCTTCTTTCAATCAACCTTAGATTGAAAAGATTCTACTATATTGATTGAGTTCTTACAAGCAAGACATACATAGATCACTCCTCTCGGTGTACTCTCCTTCCTAACTCAAAATCAACTATAGCAACCCAGAAAGATCACCCACTTTCTATCACCCTTAGAGATACCCCACTCTAAGTCAAAGAACTTCACCAAGTCCTCTTCCTGACCGCAGCAATAGGGAACACAATCAATCTTGATTGCAAATAGAAACTGATCTCCATAAATACACCTTAATGTGCATATATGATCAGTAGTATGACAACACTTAAAATCTTTAAGAATATTTGAGAATTTCTTCCAAATGTAGAAATCTTGATTCTTGGAGAGTTTCAAGACGTTCTTGCAATTAAAATCTCAACAAACAAATTATATATTAAGAAATTTCCTATAAGTTTATGATTTGCAATGACAATAAATAAAAGTTAAGGATCAACTTTGTCAAAAGTTAGATTTTATCTTCCTCGAACATTGTTAAGACATCGACAATTCTATTTAGCACTTTTTAAAAGTGAAAACAAAACAAAGGTTGAAAATATAATTGTAGATGAAAATAAGAATGTAACCAATACAACCAAAAGTGTGGTTTACAAATAAATATTTGAAAATCTTTATTATCAGGTATACAAATA